CGCACTCACACACACACACGCACGCACGATCTCTCTCTCTCTCTCTCTCTCTCTCTCTCTATATATATATATATATATATATATACATAAACATATATGGAAATCTATCAACGGAGGAGATGAGGCAGACAAAGGACACCTCAGTGGAAAGACAAACAAAGGAATTCTCAGTCAATCATGGGAGGGTCAACCACCCCCTACACTTAGTCTTACCTACTAGGTGTACATCGAGTGGAAAACATCAATAACCGCAATTACACCTAGGGCCTGCGACAGACACACACACACGCACACACACACACACACGCACACACACACACGCGCGCACACACAAACGCGCACGCGTGCGCGCACACATAAACGCACACACATACACACACACGCACACATACACAAACGCACACACACACGCACACACACACGACGCACGCACGCACGCATGTAGCCAGGCCACCAGGCTGTGCAAACACAGGGGTGTGGCTTTCCTAATCACGACTCTTTCCGCAATTTCAGCATAATAGACAAACCCAGTCTACCGCTGCCTGCTCTGCTGTGAGTTATCAAGAGTAGATAATAACACACTGTGTGTTATTATCTACCCTTGGCGTTATATACCAGCCTCAAAGTCAGTCAATAGGATGATAAGCTGAACATATATATATATACAATAGGGAGAACATGATACAAAAAAACAGAATGCATAACAAAGATAATAAATGGCACCTCTATATTGTGCACTCACGATATGATAATGGCGTTACACCGTACACAACTAGGAAACGAATGTAACATAGAGACGCAGGGTGCGAAATTAATGCGAGTCCAGAGTCCCCCCCCCCCCTGATTTACTGTCGAACTCCCTGATTTGACATATGTGGGAGTCCGTGTGACTCCCTGAAAATTCTGCTATACTAACTAGTTCATGGCCAGAGCATGGCCTCGCGGAATTACCGTATTTTTCAGTAAACCTTTAATTTGGAACTTCAGACTACGGACTCCCTCATTTTGTTGCGGACTCCCTCTTTTTTGAGGGCAGGGAGTCCGTTGGACTCCCTTGTTCAAAAGTTAATTTCTACCCCTGGAGATGTAACATATACTCGGGCATGCACAACACTCGACGACCTAGGCTATACCAAATGACTGTTGGGTGAACACTTATTGAGTCAGGTACTCATATATAAACGTGAAGCTGTCTCTCAAGTGAACCATCGCCCCAACCACCCTTCCCCAGGAAGGATCCACCATCCCCACTGCCACAGCGGCGACTCAGTGAAGGAAACAATACATTTTTTAAGGACCGGTAAAAAATATAATAACGAACGTTTGTTTCGCCGTCGCCCGTTTCGCGCCCTCTGCCAGCGTCGACTGCCGCTAGCGCCACCTGTCCAATCTACATCTCGCCGTCACACGGACTGACCGGGAACTCACGCGCGCCTGCGCCGACCGGCGGAAAGAAAACAAAGGAAGAAAGCCGCTGCGCACGTGCGCCAACGCGACGTCAGACAACCGAACGCCCTATATCCTCCGGGAAAATTCCCCTGGAAGCTCTGCCACTGATAAGTTCTTCCCCCCTGACTCCAGCTTTTCTTCGGAACCCGACGACTGGGGATTTCTCCGGACGATCGCTTCCAGAAAATCGACGGTCGAAATTTGTGCCGATCCGACGCGAATGCGCGCTTGTTAGTGATTTGCGGACGACGATGGACGAAAATTGCGTCGACTCGCGAAAAACGTGCTCGCGTTTAATTACTGAAATTTTTGCTCGGACGATTCCCGTGACATTGACCGACCACTGTCCTAAACTAGAAAGGGCAGTTGTCGCCAACTACATGTATCCCCCGTGTTCTCCCCAAGATGTGTGAGTATACGAAGTTTGGTCGCGCTAGGTCAATTAGGGGCCGAGTTATAGAGCGGAAGGGAAATATGATGAAGGTCAAGGTTAAGGTCAATGTCAAATAAAGGTTGCAGTGACCTGGTTTCGGTACGCGACACACCTTCTCCCCAAGATGTGCAAGTATACCAAGTTTGGTCGCGCTAGGTCAATTAAGGGGCCCGAGTTATAGAGCGGAAAGAAAATATGATGAAGGTCAAGGTCAAAGTCAAATAAAAGCCGCAGTGACCTGGTTTTGGTACGCGACACACATTCTCCCCAAAATGTGTAAGTATACGAAGTTTGGTAGCGCTAGGACAATTATGGGGCCGAGTTATAGAGCGGAAGGGAAATATGATCAAGGTCAAGGTCAAGGTCGAGGTCAAGGTCAAATAAAGGTCGCAGTGACCTGGTTTTGGTACGCTGCTCACCTTCTCCCCAAGATGTGTAAGTATACCAAGTTTGGTAGCGCTAGGTCAATTAGGGGCCACGAGTTAGAGATCGAAAGGGAAATATGATCAAGGTCAAGGTCAAGGTCAAGGTCAAATAAAGGTCGCAGTGACCTGGTTTTGGTACGCTGCTCACCTTCTCCCCAAGATGTGTAAGTATACCAAGTTTGGTAGCGCTAGGTCAATTAGGGGTCAAATTATAGAGTGGAAGGGAAATTCTGTGCGGCGGACCGAGCGGCGGCGGCGGCGGCTGGGGAGACATGAAACCATAGTATCCCCGCCGACTTCGTCGCGGGGGATACAATTATGACTGATCAATGGTGCGCACCCCCCCCCTGGAATAAGTAACGGAATATGCATCAAACTGGAGCCCGTTGTCAGAAACACAATTAGTCTTAACATTAGTCTTAACAATAACATTTTCTCGTAGACCGTCCACAGCGCTTTGTTTCGTATTGTTATCAGGAAATCGGCTACGATTTTTCATTCAGGTAACTTCGCAGCGTTTCTGTCGACGGTCTAAGAGAAAAAGTTAATGTTAAGACTAATGTTAAGACTAATTTTGTTTCTGACAACGGGGCCCATGGTATTTAATTCCGAGCCAACAACTGGCTAAATACCACCAGAGGAAGGAGCATTATCTTCAGATGTGCAACGCGAAAATTTAATAGGCATGCTTCACCACAAGTGAAGTGAAGCCAGCAATATATTACAATCACCGCCACTAGGTGGCAGTAATTCCCAACGAGTCATGACTCGCACAAACACGGCCATACGGAGTGTCAATGCAGTTTTCGCAAAACGACAGTTAGCTCCACACATTCGGACATGTGAATAACTAACTAAGAAAATCTCGATATTTTTACCTGCTACACATTGTATATCATATTGTCAGCCTAAAGAAGTACACCTACATATTTCGACACAGGGAACAAAATATTCAAGGCAAGTCGTTCGTCACACTTCCTCAAAACCATTATTAAATTACATTACATTCCCATTTGTCCATATTTAAGTCCATGCATATTATTAGTGAGCTTAGCGGCAGCTGAACTCGATTGCCAAGGACGTTCGTGTGATTGCGGTGATGCTGCGATCAGCGGTGCTTCATTTCAATGCAAAAAACAACCTCATGATGCCATTCACATTCCGACTCATTACCTTACTACCTCCAGATGTGTGCATGCATGCATTCTTGCATAATTTATTAGTGTGTGTGCGTGCACGCGCGCGTGTGTGCAGGGGCGTGAACAGGATTTGTACCAGGGAGGGTCTAACCGTAACCCAAACTTGGGAGCCCACAAAGGGTGGTCTGGGGTGACTTTGAAAAATTTTGAAATTAGACCCCCTTAGATGCGTTTTCTGCGTGAGCAGGGGGGGTCCGGACCCCCTGGGCCCCCTCCCCCCCCCTGTACACGCCCCTGGTGTGTGTGTGTGTGTGTGCATGTACGCGCGTGCGTGTGTGCGTGCGTGTGTGTGCATGCGCAGTGCATGCATGTGTGCGTGTGCACATTTTTGAGTGTCAGTGGGTTCCCGAATGTACGTGCATGCGGGTAAGTATGTGCATCATGTGTTGTGCACTTTGTTTTTTGGCATACGAGCTCGTTTGTGTGTGCGTGCGTATGTGTGTCTGTGTGCACGCGGCATGCATGTACACATACGTGTTTGTGTGTATGCACGTACGTGTGTACGTACATGCGAGTGCACATTTTTGTGTTTGCGTGGGGTCTTGTGTGTGCGAGTGCACGTTCCTGCACATAGACAATTTTGTGTTTGTGCGCGCGGGGGTCGCGCGTGTGTCCATGCGTGCGTGTGCGTGAGTGCAAATAGGGTGGTACGGAGGCTGAGGGATGTGCGGGTGGTACGGAGGCTGAGGGATGTGCGGGTGGTACGGAGGCTGAGGGATGTGTGCGCGTGTGTGGCTTCGCGGCGGTTGTCGGTGATGGGAAGCTAACGAGAATGAGGTCTCAGTCATCTAGATTCTACGGATTTCTAACCTACCCGGGGTTATTAATCAGTCGTTCGTAAGTTAGCCAGTTAAGTAGGTTTACCCAGTGGTTGGGTTGGAATGCATGTCAATCCTGCGCTAGTTGTAGGTCGTCATCGTCGGGGAAGTGTTAGAATTGAATAATGAAGACGAAAATAGCACGTAATACAGAGATAGGTGGTGAGGACATCAATAATATCTGTGTGTGTGAATGATCATACATATAATGTGCATGCATGCATGCGTGCATGGATGTGTGTATATATATATATATATATATATATATATATATATATATATATATATGCATATATCATATATGCATGCGTACATGTACCTGTAACCTAGATATATCCCAGCCACCGTGCGACTCGGGGGATAGAAACCGCGCGCCTGCGCTCCGCGCGCGCTCGCACGACCCCGGCGCATTGTCTCGCGCACGTACGCTCCTCGCCAGATGTCTCAAATGAAGACAATTTGTCGCTGCTGCCGCCACGTGGCTCACCTAATGGCAGATGCCTTCATCCTCTCTCACCTCAATTACGGCAGCGGCTAATGACAACTCGCGCGTAGATGCCACCTTCTCATTACCAAATATTGGATTGAGATCAGGAGGTAATTATCGCGCGGCATTTATATGAGCTCGGGCCGCCGCCGCGCGCGCCGGGCCGGCGATATTAAGCGGCCGCGCGCGATGATTCAGCGGCCGACCACTATTGACGTCGTCGTCGTCGGAGTTTCGGTCGCAGCGTACCTGCGGAGTCACCTGTCGCACCTGTGTGGTGACGAGCTCAGGTGTGTGCGTTCTGTGGGGGTGGAGCGGGCCTCTCGGGGGCCCGCTCGAGCGCGCGGTCGAACCTGCGTCCGAGTGTAGCTCGAGTGAAATGCCCCTATGAAGTGGCCTTTATAGACAGGTTGCCATTCTATAGAGATCTATGGTTTCACTCTATAACTGCAACTCGAGTGACCCCCCCAATATATGCATACATGTGTCAGATCACGCTTGTGTGTAGGGGCAGGGTATGTGTATTCACAATGTGTTCTTGTGCACTGCTGTACTAGTTGTTTGTGAAGGTAATGTTGGCATGGCACAAACATGCACCATTTGTAGAAAAACATAATGTTCAGTGAAACGAGAATTTTCAAACAACCACCATGCCAGTTAAGAACAGTCTACCTATATATATATACCCAAGGCCATCCTTAAAAAATTCTATGTTTGCTGCCCCCCCCCCGACCCATAATTTTTTTAGTGGGTAGGTAGGTAGGTTTTTTTGTGTGAGGCATAATAGTTATTTTAAGTCTGTCCTCATGTTTGCCACACATGCTTTGTGTTTCAGTCTTAACTATAAGGACAAAAAAAAAATGGAACCCAAAATTTAAAAAAAAACTTTTGGGTCGCGGCTATTTTCGTGGGTCGGTCGGAGGACAGCAAACATATAATTTTTTAAGGATGGCCCAAAGTTAAACACACATTCTAAAAAGCAACAGCCCGCCCCTTAGTAAATACATGTATATTTATACAGACCTATGAGTCTATGACCTCATGTAAAATTACACATAAAAACTGGTAAAGCAGTACTGTAGACACTACAACATCATGTTCCTGCTGCAAATTTACATCAGACTTGAATAATATATGCACGGGCCGGTTTTCACCTGCTCAAACACTTGTCATAGGCGACTGTAAGTGTTACATCTCCGCACAGTAGTTGATGGAATGTGCCATGCAAAAACATATTGGCTACAACACCAGCATTACTCACTAAAACTCTCATCGCACTGACACGCCCACCGCCCCTTCGAACGCAGAGATGAGCTTATGTACCAAAAAAAACTAACTCATTTTTTAAAGGCTTTCGATCTTTAGATACAGCTTTGAACACCGGCATGTGCACGGTGTTATAAATAATCTGAAGTTCTATTCGCGGTCCACAGCAACTAGCTGCACTTTCCAGGCAAGAGCTGTGGTACGTACACTACCACCGACAAACATCTATTTGAATTCAATTTCACTACAAATGTGTGTTACGAAACACAGTCGAGTATCGCCACGTTGGCTTTCTCAAACTTTCATCTTCATCGCCTTTCGGTGTGTTCTGTGTACGACAGTTGCTATAAAGGTCAGTGAGAAGGAATCATGAATTTTTCATACGATGGGCGGGTGCAGGCGAAGTTCAGTCAAGACAAACCCGCATTAATTAACCGTCGTTACGGGGAAGGGCTCAACCTAACGACGCTCGGCGAATTCTCCAACAGACAACAGCAATTCCTTCCTTTGCAGACATTCGCAGACGCACGTTTTTAAATGCTAGAAATAGCAGAATGAGTGCCGATTACCATATGTATGCTACGGCATATAGCGGATAATATATAGCTAGCTAAATAGTAAATATGTCATATGCTGCACAAATATATTTGTTCATCAACTACCGTATATAGATAATTAAGTGCTCATTTTGTTCCAGACTGACAGTGACTATCTCGATAAAGTGTGCCCATCTCGAATTTTATTGCGTGAAGCAGCAGCAGCAGCAGCGACAGCGGCAGCAGCAGCGACAGCAGCCATGGCAATGAAAGCAGCTAGCTCTTGGTGATCGAGCGATCGCTCACCACCAGCGGACGCTGCAATGCGCCATTTTGGTGCAAAACTTGCGAGGAAATAGATATTCTACGCGATGTGCGTCGAACGTTGCACGAATAATACGACTGCACATACTGCATGTGCTCACCCTGCTCGAATCTAGTCGTCCATATCAAAATAAACACGAGAAGACGACATAACCCAACAATAATGAATGGCCTTTCGCAAACCCGATTTTGCGAAAACATTTGACATACGATCGTACCATTTCCATACAGGAATAAACTAATACTTACACTAAATTAGAGTCCAAATAGAGCACGTACAATCAGAGAGACATCAATGACAAAATATCCTCGAAAAACTTATGTAAACACACTACTTTGCACGATTTTTCACAGCCAGACACGAAGGGTGCGGCACACTAAGGCTGGACAACGGGGCGGCCCGTTTTAGCTTCACGCATGCTTAGTTGAGACCTGACGTCACGACCATTTTGCATACATAGTTGGGTATTATCTTTCGGTAATCGTCGGAAACTGGGTTTCATCGCATAAAATATCTATAAAATAGAAATTTAGGTCTAACTGCAACATTCGCGAGTTTATTCTCGCGCTATACACAATTCGGTGTCGAAAATTTTCGAGCGAATACGAAAATAGTACAAAGATTTCGGGCCATCTTGCTAACGGTACATCGGCCGGAGATACCCGAAGCAGGTGGCGTCCGTCTGCGAGGTGTCAGTGAACTATCGTCGACGACTTCGTGGCAACTAGTACGGTTGTGAAGTTCATAAAGTTTCATCTCTTCGGCGGTTATGTATTACGTTGTCTTCGTCCTCATTGTTTTGCTAGCAGGCGTAGCAAACTCACAGAAAGGTAACATATTTTTTCTTATTTAATCGATCTCCGTTTTAATGATGTTATAGTTTCGAAACTACACCGACTGTGTGACTGTGTCGGGGCCGGTGGTGGCTTCATGTGATCGTCTGTTTCTTGGAAGCTGACGACTGATGTTGAACGGTGCTGTATTTACACAGATTTATGCTAATGTCTGATGATAAACATATTTTTGTAAAGTTCCTGCTGTACGTACTGCTTAGTTCGGAATACAATGCTATAGTTAGTTCGATTTTGATCAAATTGCTATTATTAATCGTGGGCTGACTGACTGTGATGGAAATATTGTGAATGAACACTGAACAGTACTCAGTAGAGTAGTAAACTAATAGGCTAAGGCCTATAACATTCTGCATAAATTAGAAATTGGCTGATGCAAGATATCACCATTCAAGGTTAAGTGAAGTTGATATAACTAAAAGTTCGTCACGTTCTGCTTAGAATATTATTGGTTTTCTCTTGTAAAACATTCCTTCATCAAGTACATTGATAATTCTGATTTTGATTGTCTTTACCAGCTTGTAGATATATACTGTTATACATTATTTAAATATGTATCACTATGTTGCTGTCATTTGTAGTAAGAAGCTTGCACAAGAAGAGGCTAGAGCTCTATACGATGTCAAACTTGGGTTATATCGTAGCTGTTCAAGAAAACAACTTCGATCGCGAAGGAGTTGAATAAATGTCAGTGTAAATCTGCACCCATGCCGTGCACCGACTGCCAAAAATTTGGCGTTTCAACATTTGCGATTGATCGTTTGATTTGTGCGAAACCCTTGATATAGTTGCGAAGCCAGATACCAGCCAGTTCGAAACGCGTGTGCGTGCTCTCTGACCTGCCTCGAAAAAATGCTGACACATGGCAGGTTTTCTCGATGCAGCGGATTTCGAATGTGACCATGCATGTGCAGAAGATGTACAGACAGAAGTAGTACGTGACCACCAGCACAAGCGCATGGCGAGAGTGAAACGCGATACTTGTGTGAGAGAAGGCGGTTACTCAGTGCAGCCAGCCAGTGCAGTCTGGCCAACTGTTACTCGTCTGAGCCGGGCCACGCCAGCCGGAGTATACATGGAGAAATGCATGTGTACGTGCGCCCGACTCGGTTCCCTAATCGAGGTTGTTTTGACAGAAAACGTTATTGAAAAACCGTTCGTAGCAATTCAGTGACGATGAATATGTCTATACCGCTGTACACTATTCAGCTGCAGGCCTGTAACTGGAATTACTTTCTATGGAAAATAAACGAGTCCTGCCTGTATAGAACCACTGACCCACGTCCGGGGTGGCCGAGTGTGTACTTCTGGTTTTTAATTTGGTCCGTCTGACATGCTACATACCTCGAGCAAATTTTTACGGCATAAATTTATCGCATAATATGGATTAATTTGATATGATGTGTGATTTATATATATATATATATATATTATATGATATGATTTCCTTTAAGGTAGAAGGACAGGGAAAGTTACTTTCCTGTATGCTTTTAATCCACTTGTCTATATAGTTTCTATTTCACAGTATTGCGTTGATTATCTTTTATTGGGTTGTGTCAGTTTAGGTTTGCTAGCATGTGGTCAACAGTCATGAGTAACGTGATGTGCAGGGAATCATATATCGATCAGGATGACATGTTGAGATGCAAATACTATTATGAAACGTAGGTGGGTGAGTTGGGTAAGAGAAGAAAAGAGTAGAGAAGAGAAGAGAAGTAATTCACTAACTTCGCTTTATATATAAATATACATTAATAGTTGAGCTTATACCTTAACTCCTCTATCAATCAATATTCAGGGACTAATCGCTATTATGTTCTCATTTTGTAGCTTTAAACACACTTATTTAGTTACAATCTAGCCATGTTGGGGATCATTCCCTTCCGTAATAGATGATAGACCTTTAATGGAAAATTATTGAAATTAGCATAAACAAACAGTTGATGAGAGCATCTCATTTTCTCGGCACAAATTGCATTGTATTTATAATTCACTCCTGCATTTCTATGTGCTGTAGTTTTCAGTTGGGTAAAAATGTGCTGCAAACATTGACACGTACATGTATACACGTTTCAGCTTGGTATCGGTGTTATTTTGTGGTGGCGTAAGTGAGAATTATCACATCTCCGATCTTCTTACTCAGTTCAGCATGTTCCAGTTGCTGTTCACCATGTGAAAAATAAATACGGAAAAATGTAGTTATGATTACAATTATTTACTTATGTTGGTTAATTGCATTTAGGTTGTTATATGCATTGCAACTTTTCGTGGGTGACCGGGTTATATTTACATGGAAGTGAGCATTTATTCATTAATTTGTTTGCATCCTGTGTGAGACATGGTTATCCGAAATTACGCGAGAACAATCGAGGCCTTATTTGGTATAATTTCACATTAGGTGCTTCTGATGTTTAGTTAGATTTCAAAGTGAACTGGTGCATTGTGCAGATTGTTTTATAACCCTCACCAACGTAATTTTCCTCACTTAACGAAAGAAGCTAACACCAGAACCAGAGATAATAACAGGAGACATAGGTCACACGAGGTCACAAGCCGGTTGCGCGGTGCTTTTCCTATGTAAACATACATAAATAATTGGTCAGAGCAAACCAGTTTCATTACTTTGGTGCACGTTGGGTCGGACTCTGTATATTTTCCCCGTTCTTGCTCAGTTTCAAACGAGAAAGCAAACCAGGAAATGTCACGTCGGTATTCACTGGCATGTTATCTAAATCTAGGTGTGTAATTACGTCCAGTCGGTATAGAGCTGAGGTGTATATGGTCAGGTATTCCAGATCACCGCCTCTAGCTAGCTCGTGTGCTATCTGAGCGCATACCTGCCCAGGTATGAACCAGGTTATCTTGATCGTCGGACACCTTAGATCGCACTGATAGAATGACCGCTTTTCAGCACTTTCCCCCTTTGTGCATCGGCCGGTCAGCTGTCTGTGAATAACTGACCATTCTCCTTGCACTCTTCTCGACTTTTCTGCGTGAGAGCAGGTTTGCGTGAGCTTGCGTATGTCTATTATATATTATACATGCTCAATAAACACGAGTAAAAAACCATTAATCGATGTTCTGTGGTTCTCAACTGCATAATGAAACGTCGTCACGTTAGGGTTAGGGTTAATAAGGTATAAGCTCAACTATTAATGTATATAAAGCGAAGTTAGTGAATTACTTCTCTTCTCTTCTCTACTCTTTTCTTCTCTTACCCAACTCACCCACCTACGTTGCGGGAAACGCAATCTTGCCGCCTCTGTGTCGGAGGAGATGTCACACACCTCACCCCCCCAGGGCCATCACAGGGTGACACGCCTACAAT